GAGAGGGTACCCCCTTTCAGTTGGGTACCCTCCTTCACCGAGGTTTCTTTAAAAAAAAAACCACGACACCTCCAGAGATCTCAACGGCAACATCTTGCATCCCAGGTGAGCCCCCTTCTGCTTTTACCCCTCTTCATTGTTCTTTGCAGCCCAATTGGGGTCCTTCCTCTTTATCCAGATCCACCTGCCGCTTCACTCTGCTGCCTCCGACAGTGATCTGATGGCTTTCCTGAAGGCCTGTCCCTGAACTCTCACCCCTTCAGGAGCCTGGATGTGGATTTGGCCACAAATCCTCAGCACCCAACCTCTACCGGAAGTATCTGTGTACGGCAGCCTTGTTGTCTTGCCTCAAAAGCTATATCTTCTGCTTTTTTCGTTCATAGACTTCTCACACTGTAGCCACCCATGGTACAGTTAGTTCCACGATGAACAGGGACTTCTGTGAAGTAGACCACAAAACCAGATCTGGCCTGAGATTGGTGTTTAAAATCTAACGCATTCTCATCCTAGGGCGTCATCTAAATGATGACGTTTGATCATACGTCAAAATCCGACGCACATGGCACCCTTTAGCGTCAATATGAGACGCTTCCATTATGGGTAGGCTTATGTCTGGGGTAGGGTTAGGGTTAGACCACTTGGAGGCACCTTCTGGCCCATATGCGTCGGATGTTGACGCATGATCAAACATCCGCGTCAAACATCTGTTGACGCAGTTAGATGATGCCTTGGGATGAGACCGGGCTGTTAAAATCTCAGGTGGAAACTTCTGATCTAGGTCCACTTCCATTTTCCAGTCCCATGCGGTTCCAAGAGGGTGCTATCCAATCTTGTAGTTGGTTTCACTGGGCACTGCGTTGGGACAGACTGATATTGCAGCCGGTGAGGATGTGCCTGAGAGTTGCCAGAGTTTGGCAGAGAGTGCATGCTGAATCCTCTCCAACCCATTGGTAAAGATTCTTGGGTGTAGGAAGAACATTGTAGGTGGCCCGTATGATTAAGCTGATTTGGCTTCCTTCCATCTCCTACAGATCTCTCCAAGTGAGCTTGCATTGCTCCAGGTTTTCCCAGGTAGTCCACTGGCCCTGCTTGGCCTGTTACACTGCCTTTGCACATCTCTCGGCTTCCTGTTGGTGCCTTCACCTCTCTGCAGGTATTGCCTTGTGCCATGTAGGTCGACTTGTCCCAAGTCCAAACCCAACTCTTCCTTGCTGCACCTGTCCCACTACGTCTCCATGTCTGAGAGCGGATTTTGCTTGCTCTACCACCTCAGCTGGGGTCCACTTCTTCCCAGTTGCCAGTCTGGGAGGAGCTGTTTGTGTGGCTGCATCTTGAGACTCTGCCAGGGTCAAGCTCAGTCTCACTTTGGTGCAGAGATAGGCAGTTCCATTGCACCGTGTCCATACTGAGGCACTGCTGGAGTCCCAGCCAATTCTACACTTCTTCACTGTCAACTCCAGCTTCTCAACATTGGAAATGGGAAACTTTTCATTAGGTGCAACCCAAACTGCAGACAGCTCAGTTTCAACTTGCCCGGAAGTGAAGTCTTATCATGACAAGGCCTTTGATGGTTTCCTCCCTCAGTTGGTCACACTGCTCTGTGTCTTTGAGACTTGCATTGTACCACTGTCCTAGGCTCTTGACAGGCTGTTCTGAATACCAATGGAATGGTGTTTCATTGATGTTGAACCTCTGTTCGGTAAGCTTTCCTTTGATGATGGATATGCTCCTGGATTTACTGGGTTTCAACTTCATCCTTGGCCATGTAATGTTGGAGTGAATTATTATTCCGTTAACAAAATAATATAATTATTATAATTATTCAGTATACAAAAGTGACAATAAAAAGTTTTACACAATGCATTTTACTTACATGTAAAATGCAGTACATAGATAATGCAATGATGAGTCTCCCATGCATGAGTGCTGTTTGCATGAATTGCTTACTGTACATAGAGTCTAATCTTAGTATCTGTTTAAAGTAGCTCTCTGATCATCATCTGTATAAAACCAGATAAGGAAATATAGTATTATTCAGTTGTGCAGTTCACAGGGATGACTGCGCTAGTTGCTTTACATAAAGAGGGGATATAAAAGCTGAAGTCATCGTGACACAATGCGCTTAAGGATTTTCCTATCAGCACAGGACTTGATTAGCTAGTGAACCACATTCAACTGAGCACTATTACACACTAATTCGTTAATCAGAGTTTATTGTTAGTTAATAGTAGTAAGAAGTTAGTGTATTGTTAGTGTAGTTAAACATTAATGACTGAACAATATTCTAAAGCGTTACCAAAGGTTATTGCTAAATACTAAACCAGACTTGGCCCAATTTTTGTTGCCATCTGGAGCCATATGCAATTGCTTGCTTTGTTTTTCTTGTGCCATTGCACCTTGAATTAAAGTTGATATAGTTTTTAAATAACACTAATTATACCTACTTTTGAAATGAGCAAATAAGCTTAAATCAAATTTCATTCGTTTTAAGAAGAGAAAACCTTTCTCATATATTTTGTTGTAGGCATCATCAAGTCATCATTCATTATTTTGTTACTGTGTTGGGTCATCACTTGGTCTTCAATGTAAAATCTGCATCCTGGTGCAAAACCAGTTGAGAACCATAATGCCAGTGATAAATGTTGTGAAGTGTGAATCTGCCTCCTAGTGGGGTTTTGTAAAACTGCATGAAACTTCTAGGAGTATTGAAACGGACTAGAGAAAATCACATAAAGCATATGAGGGTGTTTGAGTACTTCTGGGATTTCAGATGGAAATCGTTGTGGTGGCTAGTGAAGTGGAGAAAGAAGGCATCATTGATCGGTGTCGTGTGTATGGGCATGATGTCAAAAAGTGACAAAAAAGACAAGTCATGTCAAGTCATTCGGTGGCTTGAGGTACAACACTCTTCAATAACATTATATGCACTGTATGTGTGTGACTTATTCAGTTTTACAGTGATTTGCTTTCCAATTTAAGAAACAATGGTCAAATTTGATTGTCTATCACAAGCCAAAATCTGCATTAAAAGAATATATATAATTTTACCAACAGCATTTTTTTTATATATATAATTGGACAAATCCAAAAAATAAATACAGAATTAAACAAGGAGAAAAAATTCAATCACAAAGCTAAATAGTTTGCACAGCTTTCCTAACTGATATTTGAAAGCAACTCAATGCCACCAAGCACCAGCTTGTGGAAGACCTCATTTTTCTCATAGAAAAGCTGACAGCATTTGTCACACAAAGGTACATGGACAATTGATGCATAATGTGTATTCGATGTTTTCTTTAATCATTTTTTTTTCTAAACAGACATCTAAATAGATTTTTTTGAAGTCACCATTATATTGGCTTAATGTGTGCAATTATATATAGCCGTTTCAGAGAACATTTCTATGACAAAGAAAGAGATTAATTAAAAAAAACAGATCAACATGTCTGCTTGAAGGGTAGTAAATGACTGCATTAAAGTGATTTAGATAACTGCATTTTCTGTAGTTGTGTCTGTGAAGTCATAACTGACTTAAAAAGTAGAAGCATTCATGAATAGAAAAACACCCACAAATAAATTCAACCTTTGTAATGGAAATACAGTAGTATTACAATGCATTAACACTGAAATTTAAAATATATACAGTATATAACATCTTTTATGTAAAAATAGAGAACTCTTAGACATCAACAAACCTCTACAATGGTGACAATGATCAAGAAATATTGAAATATAAATAGTAAAAGAATAGCGAGGCTCAGTGGGTAGCAGTGTCGCCTCACAGCAAGTTCTGGTTCGAGTCTCTGTCTAGCCAGGAGCCCTTTCTCCAGGAGATCCAAAACAGTGTAGGTGAATTGGAGATGCTAAATTGTCTGTAGGTGTGAATATGTGTGTGTGTGAAGCCATATAATTGGATTTGGAAAAGATCTAACAAACTACCCCGAAAACAAAATATTGCCATTAAAATGTATGGACAGTTTCTCGCATATGGCGAGAGATTGAATCATGGAATACGACTGAAATAGTTAAGGAGAGAGAGAGTAAAATAATTTAGCTTCATAATTTATTAATGCCACAGTGCATGCTGGGAGCCATGATTAAGTTTTGTATGATGGCTCTCATCATGCACTGCAGCACAAATAATATCACCATTGTTGAGTTTCATATGCTGGTTGTGAAAAATGCTGATTGTTGATGTCTGTGAAGAGTTCCAGCTCTTTTACATTTATGTAAGTGTTTCTCAGGCGCACTGTTTGGTAAGTTTTTACCAACGTTTTAACAATTTAGTTGACCCTAGCCAGTAGTTTATGTAAATTGTTTGATAATATATAGTTAGACCCTATTTGCAGTTAGAAAACATGAGCTACCAAATCAACAGCTACCACAACCAGAAACTAGTTTATGTTTCTAGTCACATTTTTAACAGATTTTAGTCTTCCTGCACTCCCTTTTCTCTCTCTTTAGGAGGTTGAATTAGTTTTCTGAAGACTACCCATTCAAAGAATAACGTATCCCTCACCTCACAATAAGTCATACCAACATGGCTGGGGGTGTCAGACCAACTGCATCAATGAGCAGGTAAAGACATATTAAGATGATTTTAGGCAAAATGGCTGAAAAATATAATACAGTCACTAGTATATGATTTAATGTCTTATCACTTTTGACCAACAGGTGGCACTGTTACAAAATGTATGTGGTGTGATCCCAAGACGTCATATAACTGACGTCTTGGGACGTCTTTTGACCATACGTCAACATCCGCCTTTTTAGGGCCCCCTTAAACGTCGGTTAGATGACGTTATCGGATCCTAACCCTACCCCAGACCTAAACCTATACCCCGTCACCTAACTGACGTTAAAGGTAAAGCGTCAGTTGTATGACGGCCCGGGATCGTCAACTAACCAACGTTTAAGGGTACCCTAAAAAGACGGATGTTGACGTATGGTCAAAAGACGTCAGTTATATGACTTCTTGGGATGAGACTGTGCAAGTCAGAGTGAGGTGACAATGACATGTACAAAGTTTGGTGTCAATATGTCAAAGCAATGCGGAGATACAGCCTGAAAGTGATTATGGAATCATGTCTCATATTTGTTTGTTTCATCTATCAACTTTTTGTAATCACAGTCTGAAGATGATACGATTCAATTTTGGTGACAATTGGACAAACATTCTATGAGGAGTCTGAAAAAAATTATTTTGAAATCCAATCAAAATGGCGGACATGAAGTTTGACCAATTTTTGTTTCTCTGCAAAACTGAAAGGATCTATTCCCAAACCGTTCAGTGTCCCAAATTTCATAACTTTGCCATACGCGGTTTTATGGGCTGTCAATAGACTTCTAGACCACCTTCAGTGATTTTCTGCATGGCAGACAGCTCATCCACTGAAAACATTGATTAGATGATCAGTCTATCTTGCACATTTCAATTATTTAAACCCACCAGATCTTTGGTTATTTTATCAGGTCTTGTGAATAAGATTATAAAGACAACCAGGTTCTCAATGAAAACATAACGGCAAGAAGGAGAAGAGTCCATGATAAACAATTCTGCATACTGGTGCTGCTACCTTTTCTGGAACCAACACCAAAAACAACACCAACACCATCTTCCACTTCAAACTCTTGATCTTTAAGGTATCGTCCATTTTTGATTGACCACAGAGAGCAGTTATATCTCACTTCATTGTCTGGGATGTTTAGGATACTTGAGATGTTGAATGTTCCATCAGAGTTCTTCAGGCTTGTGATTTTAGAGTTGGAAGTCACGTTCCTGTCGTAATGGAACCAGTTTATTATTCCGTCCGGATACACACTTTTAAAGCTACATTCCATTTGTCTGGGCCCAGTCATAGTTGTGGAGAATTCTCCACTGCACTTTCCTGCAAAAATACATTTACAAACACAAGTTACCAGGGTGAATGATGTGATGCCCAGTTTTTGTGTCCAGATCTATAAAAAAATTAAATTCATACGAACAATGACTTGAAAATGACCTTCTTCTATGATGAACATGTTTTTATTTTCCGAAATAAAATGTATTTTGTTAATTTGAATACAAATGTTTTACAACATACAAAGAAAGTTGAAACATTTTAAACTTATGTTGAATTGTTTTTTAAAATATTACTTTTTAAGTTTCTCAAAGGGATGTAAAGTTTTCTACATTTTAATTGATCGATTCACTCGTACATCCAAACATTCATGAATTCATTAAAATATGCATCGTGCACGCAACTTTGTACTGCGAAATGATCATAATAATAATGGATCAATGAACTGACCTAAAGAAACGTTGATTTTCTCTGATCCATGTGTAGAGTCTGCCCTTATACAACAAAAATATACATCTATGTTTGCTGGGGTAGGATGTAAAATAGTTAATGTTAATGCTTCCCTTGTGTAGTTGCACTCAAATCCTGGAGGGTTGTTACTTGATGTTGGATCACATTTAAAACCTTCTTCTGATTGTTTTTTCCAGAATATTTTAACAATGTTCAACTCCATTGATTTGCTGATGTTGCACCGTAAGACAGTCCTCTCATTGCAGTTCATTGTCTGGTTTGGGAAAGCAGCCAGCACCTTTTCATCTGCATGTGTCAGAAAGCAATGTTAGCATTGGGTGAAACATTTCTATGCCTTCAGACAACTTAATATATGCTAAGCACAATACTAAAACTGAATTTCAAAGGTTGAACATCAACAAGGAAATCAAAGGCTTTCAATGTTGATTACATTTTTTTAAAATCTCTGCTATGTAGTAAAAATTTAAATGCTAAATAATTACATTGTTAACAGCATGAACATTTCCTTCAAACATTGCAGTCATACATAAGTTGTAGAGAAATTTAGTAGTGTAGTAGTGCCTTGTGAAAAGGAGGTACTTTAGTATCTGAAAAAACTCATTGCAGAAGTAAAATATGTTTGTAAAATCATGTCGATTCTTATAGGCTATGATTAAACGGTAACGATTCTGAAGAGAAAACGGAAAAGTGGCATTGCGTTATCACTTTTCATTTTGCGTTTAGACGAGCATTTTGGGTGGGAAATCCGCGTGCATATGTTGACGCAAAAGAGTAGTATGCAAGAGTAGTATGTAGTATGCACTCCAGGCCGCTAGGTGGCGACATGAAGCGCTGCCACACAACAACACCAAGTCCACGCGCATGCGTACAACCTTCACTGTCTAGCAGACTTTTGCGTTTTTACTGGTTTTTACCATTTACATGGGAACACAATGGTGGAGCGTTTTTAAGATTTCCACTCTGGAGGGTGGTTTCACTTTTTTGCGTTTTTAAGCCCCAAAAACACTGCCGCCGTGTAAACGAAAGGCACATCCGATAAAATAAGTTTACGTTTTCACCCGCGAGCATTCTCGTGTAAACAGGGCCTTAGTTCCCGAGTTTTCTACGCTATCTCACGACCAATTCGTACGAATTCGACGCATGATTAAAAAGTGTCTAATTCGTATCCTCACTCGTACGAATTTGTACGATTTGTATAAACTCACGTGATGGTTAGGTTTAGGGGCGGGGTAAGGGGTAGGTCATTCGCACGAATTCATATGAATTGGTCAATTTGTAAAATATGTATGATTTAGCAAAATCGTACTAATTCGTATGAGTAAGGTCGTAGGAATTTGTACGAATTAGCCACTTTTTAATCATGCGTCGATTTCGTACGATTTGGTCGTGCGATCGGGTTGGAGTTTTCTATCTGTGTTTAGTTCCTGCTTGCTTAGTTCCCTTGGTCGCTCTTTTGTTACTATTGTTACTCATTGATTATGTTCACCTGTGTCTCGTTGGGTTCCTCATTTAGCCTTTTCAGCCCTCGGTTACTCTACCCTTTGTCTTGTATTGTCTGTGTTTTAGAAATAAAAGTAAAACTTCTGCAATTTAGGGTATGTTTACACAACAACGCTGTATTAAAAATAGAAAAGTTTTTCCTTTGCATTTTTTGTGTACAGACGACAACATTGTCAGAACGATCACTGTTTACACGGGTCCACGAAAACGATTAAAAGCGCCATATTATTTATGCCAGGTCAGTAGTTGGCGATGTCTGTGTGCCCACATAAAATATTTTTTGGATTTTTTTATTTGATCGTTTGGATTTCATTGAAAAGGCTAAAAATTGCATGTTCTAAAATGACCGCGCTGCTAAAATCCATAAGGTAAATTTAACTCAGAATTTATGCTCTTGATGAGTTCAGCGATTCAGGTCAACTAATGATTATGTTACAAACACAACCAACACCATCAGATCACTTGTCTATTTGTTCATCTGGTTGTTATAACTCACATACAGCAGCCAAACAAATCTAAAGTTAATGATTTAAGGGTCAAGAGCCCAAACCAAACTCTGATCACCATAATAGTGACTTAAAAATTACGGTTTTCTCCTTCAGAGATTTTGCTTGTTAACATCAGGTGTCTTCAATAATGCTCAATCATCACTCAATCGATCACTTAATCATCTCATTAACTTTAACACTGCTTTAGTGTTCATTTACCACTCAGCTTATATAATTCAAACTCTCAGTGTTAATTTAACACTGGGAATTGCTGTGCACAGTTCACCTTTATGTGATTTCATATTAGTCTGTTTTTTGTAAAACCGTGTACTGACAGGCTTAAAATATACTTTAATGCAATATCTATTGAAATGTGTATGTCATGTATTTGAATATAATTGAATGAATGAATGAATGAATTTGCAATTTGGTTGATTTAAAATATATTGATCTTTAACTATAATATCAAAAACCACATAGCAGTTAAAATTGTAATCAGGGACTTTAGTCTTTTGTTTTTTAGCATGTTAGCCATCAAGTCATCATCAAAATAAGTGTACTACTTTAAAGTAATTTGGTGAACCAATCTGTTACATTTATAATACATTTATACAAGGGAATTCTTCAATTAATGTATGAAGAACTAAATGTCTGAAACGTCTTACCTTCAGTGTTTCCTGATATCAGGAGAGTGGTTAAAAATGCCAAAATGACTAACATCTTTTTTTGTTTTTCCGAAGTTGGTAGATATGGTGTGAGTGGAAGAGGAAAGTTTCTGCAGTGTCGGTCTACACTCCTACACTGACTATAAAGAGGAGAATTTTTTTCCTAAAGCTACAACAAGTAGTCGCTTGCCCACCCTGTAACTATGGCAAGTTTTGTTCACCCCTCTCTTCTATCTTTTTGTCCTGACTATCCCTCTTTGGGTTAAAAAGGGGATTTCAAAGAACAAACATATTTGTTATTAGTCCGTGTCTCAGCTTTTCTAGAAAAATCCATGAAATAAAGGGACTACATGGCATTTTTATATATCTCCCATCCTTTTGACCTAAGAGATTCTCTCAAAAATCCAACACCTCATTGTGTTTCATTAGCCTATGGAATGCTACCGCATTTATAATATGATTTTGACCTTTTTATAAGGCAAAAGTAAACTCTACTGGAACCAGTGGCAGTAACCAAAGCATTACTCAACTCTTGTGTAATGAATTTATCTCCTTAATGGATTTGTTTCAAACACAGAAACTCAAGCAGCAGGCCCAGGCAGAATCTTTGGAACTCTTACAAAAATGCTAAGTCTTGCCTACTTGAGTTGACATGTTTTTATTCTTGTAGATGTTTTAAAATATAAAGTATAACAGTGGAAATCATAATCAGGGCTGCAGAGACATTTGTTTACAGACACAAATCACGGGTGACTGAGACACAAACTCTGCCTCCTACATTTATCTGTCACTTTAACACCACCTGAATGTTCTGTATTGGCATGTGTGCTGAATTGGCAGGCTTGGGCAATTCAGGACATAAAGATGATGTGCCTTGGTGGAATGTTTTAGCATTCAGTGATTGCGTTCAGATCTTCTGCGCAGAAATATAACTATATAAAGTGTCTTTGTATTATGTTTGAGTTACGTCATAATGCCTTTAGGGGTTCATGTCTTTGCCCCTTTGCTTTATAGATGCAAACATGAATCATTGTGTAACTAATCTCTCAAAGTGGAAGGCATCCAGAAACACATGCTCTCTGGGAGACATCTGTCTTCCCAGGATAGAGGGGGAATTGTGCTATTACTCATATTACAGAGGTTCACTCATCTGGCTCCAAGTCAAAAAGAAACCCAACACTCAAACAAACTGGATAGAGTTATTGAGAACCAGTTCTCAGTGAGAAAATGTCAAAAAAACTTCATTCGCATTAATGCATTTGGCAGATGCTTTTATCAAAATCTGTACATTGCATTTCAGGGTATACGTTTACAAAACTTTTCTGACTAGATTTGCAACTATGACAAATTTATATATATATATATATTTAAATACTTTTAAATAATGCATAAACTGCATAACAAGTGTTAAAGACACCGAAAATAAACAAAACTATCATATACTCGGTGCAATTGTGCTTGGCTAGTTTCAGCCCGACGCAGTTATGATTTTCACGTCCTGCGCCACGTTGTTTAAATAGCAAATGTATTTGCGACCATCTGTGCGCCCATGGGCTGCTGGTCTGAAAACGAAGTGTGTTCTGGCGCATTGTTGGTGCGTTGCTATTTTGAGGCAATTGAAATAGACATTTGTTGTTGTTGTTATTTAAAGGACGAATTAGTAATATGCGCCTATTAGGCGGGTGCACAACGAGTGTACACTCTGCTTATTAAAGGGATAGTTCACTTTGAAATTAATATTTGATATGAATTATCTTACCTCAAGGGCATTCAAGATGTAGGTGTCTGTTTCCACAGAATTTTAAATTTTTATATTTTTAGGTCAAACCGTTATAATGCAGGTCTATGGTCACCACCTCAAAAAGCATGCACAGAGAACTCCAAATTAAATATGATTTCATGACTCATAAATGTAAATACACATTGATGGCCTGAGACACGAAACGAGCGGTTTGTGTGAGAAAACAAACGTTTTTACATATTGTAACCACAGCCATGTGCAAGTGATCTGAGGGTGCAGGCGCTTTGTGGCTGTGGTTACATGAGGTAAAAACGATATAAATACTGTTCGTTTTCTCACACAAACCGCTCGTTTCGTGTCTTAGGCCATCAATGTGTACTTACATTTACGAGTCATTAAATCATGTTTAATTTGGACTTCTCTGTGCATGCTCTTTGAGGTGGTGACCATAGACCTCCATTGTATGACTGATAGACAAGAACGGTTTGACCTAAAAATATCAAAATTGAAAATACTGCGGAAACAAAGACACCTATATCTTGGATGTCCTTGAGGTAAGATAAAACATATCAGAAATTAATTCCAAGGTAAACACACCAAATATTAGAAATAAAAGGATTGCAGTGTAAAATATTATTATAAAGATATGGTGGATTCCAGCTTGTCCCGTAACTTGCGCACAAGCTAACCTCACGTATGAGCAGATCTGTTTCAATGGGGTTAGAAAAATAATCTTAATTCAAACAGAAACAAGATAATTTTTCTTTAGTCCACCAAGACCAAATACATGAATATTGTCATATCCACTCACATGCTAAAACTATACAAAGAGTTATCACGACTGACCTTCAGATAGCACTTTTGAGCAAACATAAAGAGATTGCATAATCAGATTTTTTAGAGTAGCTGAGATATAAGAAAGTGCTTTTAAAAAAAAACTTTACAATAAGGTTCATTGGTTAACATTATTAACTGACAAGAACTAACAATGTGCAATACATTTGTTACTGTATGTATTAATAAAATGTTTGTTAATAAAATACAGCTGTTCATCGTTTGTTCTTTCAGTTCACAGTGCATTACCGAATGTTAACAGATACAACTTTTGATTTTAAGAATGTATTTTGTAAATGTTGAAATTAATATTAACTAAGATTAATAAATGCTGTAGAAGTATTGTTCATTCTTAGTTCATGTTA